AAAAATTTGCAGAAGTTAGCGCAACTACTGACATTTTTGAAAAATTGCATTAAAATTAAAACAATGTATGAATTTTCATAAAAATGACAGTAAATAAGTGTTGTCCTACTTTACTTATATATCAAATTGGAGCGCTGTCAACTCAAAAGCGGGGTCTACAATGGCAGCAGGAGTACAGAGTACAAGAGTAAGCAGTAAGCAGTACGAAATGGGATTGGCTCATTCCGTTACTCCCAACGAAATGAGCGAATCCAATTTTATACTGCTTACTGCTTACTCTTGTACTCTGTACTCCTGTTGTCATTGTAGACCCCGCTAAATAGTTTTTGAGATGTTTAAATTTTCAGAAAAATGGATAGACACATATACAGGGTGTTCCATTTTCTATCATCTCTCATAACTTTGCAGGGAGCGGTCGCAGAAAAAAATATTTTAGATAAAAGTTCAGAGGGGGTTATCTGATGATGACTTTGGTCTTGACCTTGGGGTCAAATTTGAAAGTCATTTAAAGGTCAATATAAAAATTTGAAATTAAAATTCAACCTTATGTAATTCGGAAAATATTAAATAAAAAAATACTTTATTATGTTTTGAAAAGTTCTTGAGATGAGCTACAAGAATATGTAATAAAAAATAGGAAAATTTTTATATTGAGCTTTAAATGACCTTCAAATTTGACCCCAAGGTTAAAATCAAGATCACCATCAGATGATTTTCTCTGAACCTACAACTTTTGTCTGAATTATTTTTCTCTACGATCGCTTCCTGCAAAGTTACTAGGAACGATATATTAAAATGGGACGCCCTGTGTACGATGCATGTACACATATAGACCTTTTTAAAATATGATTTTTCGATGTTTTGGAACATTTTTGAACACATTGGCGTAGAATCTGAAAAAAAATTTCCACGAAAACAAAGCTTTTTCTGAAGAAGCAGAAGAGATCGGCTAATTCGTGCGTGACGAGAAGAGATAGTCAACACGGGGATCTATCTATTATTACATTATTATTCGTAGAGTGGCTCTCCCCCGCTTCGTCGCACATCTAGCAATCGTATAACTGTGAGAGGTTTCTTCCTGCTGTGCATTCGATTCGAATTGACCGTTAATTTTTAATTAATTTTTTTATTAATTATTGCAAAACGATAGAGGACTTTCTTACGCAGTTTAAGGGGATGCTAATTCTGTTTTATCGACAAATATTTTTATTTAACTCTTTATTGCCTACAGAATGAAAAACCCTTTACTAGAATTAAAGTATTCATAATAACAAATCGGGGCTACTACAAATGTATAGAAAAAAGACAAGAAAACTAAATAATTATAGGCAATAGGAATAAGAAATTTTCTATTATTAAATTCCCAAAAATATTAATAACAGTATTTTAAATAGGAGTTGTAGAAATTAATCGATCAAACTAGCAAGTAAATCATTTATTTATTCAGCTTCACGACGTTTCGACCATATGGTTGTGGTCCTTATCAAGTGAAATAAATTAAATTAAAGTTAAACACATTATTATATAAATTTAGTCAGTAACATTTCTTAAAATTATAAAAGTTAATCAATCGCACAAAGCGAAACATTCAGTCATATTCTGACGATCTTTCGATGGGTTATGATGTTTAATGTTTCGCTTTGTGCTATTGATTGACTTTTATAATGTTAAGAAATGTTACTGACTAAATTTATATAATAATGTGTTTAACTTTAATTTAATTTGTTTCACTTGATAAGGACTACAAACCATATGGTCGAAACGTCGTGAAGCTGAATAAATAAATGATTTACTTGCTAGTTTGATCGATTAATTTCTACAACTCCTTTTCTATTATTAGTCTTTTGCAACCTAATCTAAATGATAAGAAAACTGTAATTATTTAACTTTCTTGGTTTCTTTTTATATACACATATAATAAGATTTGTTATTATGAATGCTTTAATTCTAGTAAAGCCCCTTGCACAATGCCAGGCAACAGGCAATAGGAATAAGAAATAGAAAATTTCTACCAATAAAAGCAGAGAATCATATCTATCTCCTTTTCCGATTGGTTGATATTTTCTATTTCTTATTCTTATTTCCTGTTGCCTGGCATTGTGCAAGGGCTTTAAAAGATTTTTCATTCTGTATAGCCAATAGAGTTATTAAGGCTTCTGACTTTTCGCCGATCATGTTGGAAATGTGACATCAGAGGCGAAAAATACGCTAAACATTTTTAGATTCGAAATAAAAAGACCTCTATATAAGCTAGCCCCCTATTAAGCTAGCAGAACCAAATCGGCATAATTTATCGGGATATATCAGAATATTTAATACTAATTTGTCCATTTTGTACTAATTTATACCGTTAATAAAACTTTTGTACTCCGTGCCGTTTCCAAAAAAAAAAAAAAAAAAAAACGCGCTGCCACCTTCAAATAAGCTAGCAGGACCATAATAAAAAAAAAGATAAAATAAAAATCAATAGCAGAAATAAAAAGTACTGAATTTGTACTAATTTGTACCACAGAAAAATATTGAATATTTTCATTTATTCTGCAAAAAACAACTCCAATTGATTTCAGCTTTATTAAGCTCAAGAGTAAAGTATTCTTTCTTATTAGTAGAATTAATTGCTATTTGTACATGCGACGCGGTATAATATGTACTATCAAAATGTTAAGTTTCAGATGTTGGATCTCTATTGTTCCTTTATGGTCTTGCTAGCTTATTTGAAAGTGGCAGCGCGTTTTTTTTTTTTTTTTTTTTGGAAACGGCACAAAGTACAAAATTTTTATTAACGGTACAAGTTAGTACCAAATAGGTACTAAATATTCTGATATGTCCTCATGAATTCTGCCGATTTGATTCTGCTAGCTTAATAGAGACAATAAAAAGACACTTCGGTAAAACAGCACTTCAGATGGCTTTAACACATTCTTAAAATACCTAAGAAAATTATTCTTTTCCTTTGACAGTCAATCAACAATCTATAAAACGATTATTGAGAATTTTGCAAAATGGTAGAGGACTTTTCTACTCAGTTTGACCTGCTCTACCTGCACCTGACGGGTGGGGCGCGAATTACCGGACACCCTGTATATTTAAAAATATAGTTCTTTTTAAAAAAACAAAATAATATTCTTGAAAATTGTCCTTTAGAATAAAATTAGTAGCGTAACTTTTTTTCTCTTTGAAATTCTAGAATTTTTAGTTAAAAAATTTTTCTCTAAAATGCATTATTGTTTCAAAAAAAAACGTATTTCTAGATACATATGGTAACGGAATCTTTTTACATGTGAATATACGTTACATATAATAAAATAAAATTTTGCCAATATCATTGCAATTTTGTTACATTATGAACCATTTATTGTATGTATTTGTGTATATTTGCTAATATAATTGCAAGTTTGTTACTTTATGAATCATTTGTTGCACGTTGTGTACAAGTATATTTACATGAGATATATTAGCGGGTTCTCTAATAATAGTCTGGAGTATTCTTGCGTCGGACATCATTCGAGATATCTTTCAGTTTCTTGCCAATTTTCAGAAAGTAGGTGCAACGCCATTGGTAAGAGCAGTATTGCAATATTTTTTAAAAGATAATATTTAAAAAAAGAAAATGATTGAATTGCGTACGCAAAGACACACATAGTGTATATATGTATACATATGTACATATTTATTTATTTACACAGTATTCTTAACCTAATAATTATATTATGCTAGTAATTATTTGTAAACATTCGAAATATTCGATGAATTTGATGTTTTAATTTTATATTATTATTAAGGCTCCCCTGCATACTCGATTGCCAAGTCCGCGTTGACAGTAACAATTTAATTTAAAACGGTGAAAATAAGATCTCTATATTGTTTTATTGATAAAAGATGTACGATATAATGAACGAAAATAATATGATTAATAAATAATATGATTTTGATTATTAATAAATAAACAAATGACATTTTAGCAAGCCAAAAGATTCTTGTGACGTACAGTATTATTTTTTGTTTTAGTGCAGTGTTTTTGTATTTTAAATAATTGTGTTTAAAATAATCGTGATGGAACCGAAGACTCTCATTTTGGTATAATTTAATATGTGAAAGCAAATATTAATTTTTTTCGATAAAGAGCCTGTTAAAGAGGTGGTTTTCATCCTTATGGTTAAGTTCAATTTCATTCGACATATACATATTATTTATTAATTACCCAAGCAAAAGGAGAGTTTTCGGTATATTTTACAAGTCTGTTCTATCCGTTTTAACCGGTATTTTAAAAAACATTTTTATTTTTACGTACGTCGAAAGATTTTTTATGGTCTATTTTCTCGCTTGGGATGCTGGAGTGATGGCCGAAGTTTGGCCACCGAATTCCGATAGGTTAGCACCAAACATATCTAAACATATGTACGTGTACACATATACACACGATAGGTTAGCACTACACATATCTAAACATATGCACGTATACATACATATGCGTGAAAATGTTCTGCACTGTTTTCTTATTTATTAGGCTCCTAAACTTATATTTAAAAGTTTACTAATACTTCTTTATTCAATTTCTAGTCAGAACCTATAATATTTTGTACGTACAAACAGCAGAACTTTTATATTAAACAATTTTTTGACCTGACGATAGAAGTCGATAAAGAAATTTTAGTTTTTTAATTTTTTCTTGTTTTTAACATAAAATCTGTAAGTTTCCACTTTATTTCTGCATATTCTACATACTTTAATGGTGAAAAAGCATTTATTATTTTATTAAACTAATAAAAAGTTTTCGGTGCAGAAAGATCTATAATCATCCAATCGATAAAACAGACATCCGCCATTCCCTTAATCGCAAATGAAACAAATAATCTTTTATTATTAAAATCCAGGGTTGGGTAATAACGGGAGAGGCTCAGTTGCGCACAGTACATAAGTTTAAAAAAATCATTAACTTACCCCACTATGTTAAAATCTATTATTAAAATCTAACATTTGTTTGCAAAACTAAATTACAGGTTACGGAAGTAGCGGTAAAGAATATTCAGAAGAATTGTTGAAAATCGACTGGAAAAGACGTAACAGGACGACTCGTGTAAAATTGTGAGATCTAAACTCGAAAAATACCGCTGTAAAAAAACAAGTATAGTCTTCCTCCGAAGATATCTACACCTGCAGCAAGTAATTCTTGGACATTTGAAGAAAATTCTTCATTGTTGACTCTTTGAAGCAGGATATAATTTTCAATCAGCCTACAAGCATGTCCATAGCCGGATACGAGGATCTTTTGAATGGGCCAGTTAAAACGTACTTAGACTTAAGTCAAAAGATCGGCGGTGATGTAGCTGCTCATAGCAAGCTCGTGGAGAAGGCTTTTCAGTTAGTATATATTTCCAAATATACATATAAATATAGAGTATTCCATATCAAGTTAGCCACTTTTATATTATTGAAAAAAACCGACCTTTTTTCCATTTATAACAGCTAAATTTTATCCTTACAAGTAAACCTCGGAGAACGTTAGACTCCGATTTTTTCAAATTTTTTACAGTTGTTTCTGATGTCAAAGTATGAAGAAATCTGTTGTTATTTTTAGCTCAAATTGATTTTATTTTTTATTTTGCGCAAATATACGATTTTTCACGTGTTTAAACTAGTTCTTACTTTATACGAATAAATCTATCCGATTTTGATGAAACTCGGCACACAAATAGAACATTAAATAGTTTATTAATTTTTTTTACCGCATTAAGCAGTTTTGAGCTGTTTTTAAGTACTTTCTAAACAATTTTTAAAAATATTTTTATATTTTTTTTGTATCTTCTTTGTTTTATATTTTTTCCTTTTTTTTAACAATTGTATAACAAATTTTTTAAAATTTAATAATTGTAAGAAAAAAGAAAAAAGTATATAAAACAAAAAGATACAAAAAAATATAAAATTATTTTAAAAAATTGTTTAAAAAGTACTTAAAAACTGCTTAATGCAGTAAAAAAATTAATAAACTATTTAATGTTTTATTTGTGTGCCGAGTTTTATCAAAATCGGATAGATTTATTCGTAAAAAGTAAGAACTGATTTAAAATGTGAAAAATCGTATATTTGCGCAAAATTAAAATAAAAAAATCAATTTGAATTACAAACGACAGATTTCTTCATACTTTGACATCAGAAACAACTGTAAAAAATTTGAAAAAATCGGAGTCTGACGTTCCCCATGGTTTACTTGTTAGCATCCCTACACTAAAACCCAGGAATTACAGAATGTGATTTTTTACGGTTTAAAAATAGCACCTCATTCTGTCTCCATATATCAGACTCTATACGTCATTTTGACGTCAATGACGTCAGTTTGCTACTGGGATTTTGTACGTATAAATTGCAAAACTAGGAGTTTTTGGTCTAAATCTAAGCACAGATTTTTCAAATTTTTTGTGTAGGGACGTTAAGAATAAAATTTAGTTACTAAAAATGAAAAAAAAGATCGTTTTTTTTGTAATAAAGGTTGCTTATATGGAATACAGGGTTTGTCCGGAAAGTAATGCGTCGCATTTTTTGTGACGCGACTATACATCGCAGAGCGATGGGACCGGTTGGGGAGGAAGGGGCGTACCCTTAGCTTTCCAACGGTAGGTCGCTCAATTGTTTCCATGCGCTTGGAGGGTTAGGACGGCTTATTCTGTGAACCTCTGCTTAGTGGTCGCGTCGAACTTGTGATGGAGAGAACGATAGAGCAACGCTATGCGATAAAGTTTGTTATTACGGCCTACCTGACCCGGATCGGTGTGGCAACGGTGCCGCAGCCGCCCTACAGTCCCGACTTGGCCCCGGCGGACTTTTTTTTATTTCCTCGGCTGAAAAGGGAGCTCAAAGGACAACAGCTCGAGTCGGTTGACAACGTACAAGCTACTTCGACGGCCTCCCTGAACAGCATCCCAGTCAAGGAGTTCCAGAAATTTTATGACGCATGGAAATCGCGTTGGCAAAAATGTATTGACGCAGAAGGGTCATACTTCGAACAATTTTAAGTTGTTTTACCTATGCGATCAATAAATTCTTTTTTAAAAAAATGCGACGCATTACTTTCCGGACAAACCCTGTATATATGTATTTAACATTAAAAAACGACCAATACTGGAGACAATATATTCTTTATTAAATTCAATATCTCATAACGTTTCGATCTCTGGTTCAGGTCATTTTCAAATGCAACTGAAAAAATAATCATTATAATCAACATTAATAAAATCCAATAAATTAAAAATTGAACAATCAAGAAAGTATAAAAATGGTGTTACATTCTTTTTAAGATGGCAATATAGATACAGTAGTGAGGCACTCTTATAACATATTACAATATATAAAAAGAAAAACTTGTGTCTTAAAAAGACGTCTCGTCAGTAACAATGCATGTTCTACTAATACATTTCAAGTTATCCACATAAATATAAAATTAATATGATAATTAATTTGGTAGACCATGCGATTCTATTTTCAAATGACCAATTTCATAAAAAGAACATCGAATTAGTAAAACATTTTGACTAACAATTGTTTTCCGTCTGACTTGATTGACCGAATTATTAAGAAACGTTTAGGTTTCCTCAAACATAAAATTAATCTTAATGAAACTCAAAATAACAATAGAAAACGAAATAGTTTTGACCAAACTTCTTTCATTACTTTGCCTTATATCAAGCTTAGTGAGATGATATTAGTAACTCTCTTTCAAAAATAGGTTTAAAATCGGTATATTCCATTCGAAAAAATTAAATACATTAATTAAACATGGGAAAGATAGAATTCCAAAGTTAAAAAAAAACTGAAGTAGTTTATAAGATTAAGTGTAAAAATTGTGATTTCTCGTACATCGGACAAACTAAGACATTTAATTACCCGTATTAAAGAACATAAAAATAATATAAAGATGCATGAGAGTAATTACTCGGTGGTAAGCAAACATAGAGTTGAGTTAAATCATGATTTTGATTGGATCCGATAATTTTACACAACAAAAGCCATACAAAGAAAAAAAGAGTTGGCTCTCTGAAATGTTTTATATAAAAAGGTTAAAAACACTTTAAATGCTTAAAAAGACACTGACAATCTAAATATTATTTATGATAAAGTCATTAGAATAGTTTAAATTTTGATATATTAGTAAAACACGCATTGTTACTGACGAGACGTCTTTTTAAGACACAAGTTTTTCTTTTTATATATTGTGATATGTTATAAGAGTGCCTCACTACTGTATCTATATTGCCATCTTAAAAAAAATGTAAGATCATTTTTATACTTTCTTGATTGTTCAATTTTTAATTTATTAGATTCTGTTAATGTTGATTATAATGATTATTTTTTCAGTTGCATTTGAAAATGACCTGAACCAGAGGTCGAAACGTTATGAGATATTGAATTTAATAAAAATATATTCTTTAGTATTGGTCGTTTTTTAATGTTAAACACATATTCTTCATTTTTTTAAATTTTCGACTGGCAAATTGATTACACACACTTAATCAATTAAGACTTTTAATCCAATCAATTTATATGGAATGCTCCATATGTATACATACAGGGTAGGATTTTGAGAAATTTCAGTCCGAAGATTCAAATGGTCTATGTATATATACATATATATATGTGTGTTTATATATATATATATATATATATATATATATATATATATACATATATATATACATATATATGTTATAGTCAAAGCCCGATGTGCGGGCGTTCCTAGGATTGATTGGTCAATCCTGCGTAACAACCAAGCGTGTTGGTCAAAGTCCGAAATACTTTTGTGTTTCGGCTTTTGATTAGTACGTTTTTAGTCAATCCTAGGAATAACTAATATGGCTGGTTAAAGTTAGAAACTAAAAATATCACTTCGGACTTTGATCAGTCAATCTTATGTGGCTTAATTGGGACTTTGACTTTTAAAAACGATAACCAAGATTTTTGACTGTGATGTTTTTATTGTTGACATACATATGTAATATAGCTTGTAATTTACTTTACTTTTGTAGTTATTTTTCTTAAAGTTAAAAATATACTTTTAGTTAAATATACATACATGAACATAAAATGACAAAGTTATTTAAAATAAAATGCACTCTTTTTTTAAATATACATAAATATTTTAATAATTTTTAATAATTAGTATAAAATAAAATTATCTTGTCTCGTAGCAATCACCCGAGAAAAAAAAACAGAATTTTTATCACCTTAATTGTCATTTTAAACAAATATTTTCAAATTAGACACGCTATAAGAAACTTTGTTGACATGTATAGAATATTATAAAGATTTGAAAATACATAATATATGTAATATAACAAAAGAAAGAAATAATTATCAAAATATCCCAAATCTGTAATAAGTATATTACTTATTCTGGAAATCAGTCGGTTTATGACATTTAGAATTGCACAATATAATTAAATTTTCCTTATCATTATTGATTCCTTGAGAAAAGTATATTTATAATTGTCAAATGTATTGTGCAATTCTAAATGTCATAAATCGACCGATTGCCAGAATGAGTAATATACTTCTTACAGATTTAGGGTATTTCGATAATTATTGCTTCCTTTTGTTATATTACATATATTACGTATATAATAAAAATAAAGGGCTAAATGAGAGCTTAGCGTGATCGTTGGTACGCAAATAAAATAAAAGAAATCAATGAATCATTCTTTATTTGTACGTTTCGGTCCTCGCATTTAGGATCTATCTTCAGCAATTGATAATAAAATTACTTAATTATGGAGACACAATGCGCATACTCCGACGAAAGTCCACACCTTAATTCATTATTTAGCCCTTTATTTTTATTATATATTTATTATCAGAGCTTCTTAATTTTCAACATTTTAAAAAATTTTAACAAAGTCCGAATTAAGCCACATTTAAGATTAATTGGTCAAAGTCCGAAGTAATTTTTTTAGTTTCTAACTTTAACCAGCCATATTAGTGATTCCTAGGATTGACTAAAAACGTACTAGTCAAAAGCCGAAACACAAAAGTATTTCGGACTTTGACCAACACGCTTGGTTGTTACGCAGGATTGACTAATCAATCCTAGGAACGCCCGCACATCGGGCTTTGACTATAACATATATATATATATATATATATAGGGTAGATCAATATACGCAGATATCTCATAAAGTAAGGAAGATAGTAAAATATAGTTTTATAGTTAACAATTTTTTGACATAAAATGTAAAATATCTTGCAAAATATTTAGTTTTCGGTAATCATACTTTAATACTTTATGCACGGAATAATGAGACCAATTAATCGATATAAAGAAAACATAGTTGCTTTAAAAGGTATGTTTGTAATTTGCAATATAGTTTTTTAAA